GCACTCTATGCCGGTGTTTCTCAACCGTAGCAGCTTAAATATGTGTGGACTTCAAGTCCCAGAATTCCCTAGCCAGTATGATTTTTACATAATTTGGAGTAATGCGGAAATGGAGGGGATGTTATGCCTCTTTGACCATCCATTCTGACCAGCTGTAGATGAGCTTCTGCAATCAACTGTTCTCAACCTAATTGACGTGAGGTTGGGGACAATAAAAATAGTAATCAAGTAAATTCTGTAATTTACTTGATTGCTTAAATTTGTTGAAATGGCCAGCTATATACATTAGATGGACAGACAGATCTGGAGATTGAACATCTGTCTGCAACAAGTTCAATTCATTGGCTGTTCTGAGAAATTATTATTATTTTGGCTTATATGTACCATTTCTGCCTTTTACATTGATAACACAGAGTATGAATACTACAGAAAACGGCAAACTTCCCAAGAATATTGTATTGAAAAGGCTGACTTGAACATTATGTCTAACTAAACAAGGATGTGTATTACATTTTGCTCTTTAGAGCCTTCTGTTTAGTAGCAGAGCAAATATGTATTCTCCGTCTGGTTCTTTCCAATAATAATAATCTTTTGTCCGAACTGAGGTTAATGGCTTATTGCATTGCTTATAAGCCAAGTTTATTAATAAGATATTTAGTCTTGAGTCCAAAGCTCAGTTTTAGCAACATGATACTTAAGGCTTCTTTTAGTCCCTCCAAATGGAAATATTTGATCCAAGAGACTTCATGCATTTTAAGCTAATATTTAAGCTGAGGGTTGTAGTTTGTTACTCTAAATTTATTTACTCTAAATTAACCATTTGGATTCTGATCCTGGAGACTCCCATTTGTAATTTCATTGAATTTCTTTGAACGCAGACATCAAGTAAGACTAGCTGAAATAAAAATATAATTTTCTTCCATGCTCTGCTTAGTACAGTCTACTTCCCTTGTTACAGTGGTAAATGGGCAAGAATAGCCAATTGTTTCACTAAAATTTAATTGCTACTTAAAAAATTGAATTTAATCTTACTGTTTAGGTCAGTGTTTCTCAACCTTGGCAACTTGAAGATGTCCGGACTTCAAG